GTCTGACTGTCTCGTTCAACCCAGTCATGGTTAATTGGTTGCAGTCCTACCCCGGGGTGCGCCCAAACACCCCCCCAAAACCCCCCTAATATTAAACCCGAACCGCCGAAATCCAGTTTTAATATTAGGGAGGGGGGGGAGGGAAGGGGGGGGGGGGCGTTTAATAATAGGGGGAAGAGATTAAAGAAAGAAAGAAAGAGAAGGAGAATAATAAGAAGATGTTGACAGCAAGCACTGTCATCAGTGGCACCTGCATCAAGAAGCATGCGGTCCTGATATACACGGCCACTGTCTCCCAGTCGCCCTTGTGCGCGCCGTACTCTTCATCATGGATAGGGCCCAAATTGATCTTGAGACAGGCCGGCTGATGGCTGTACCTGTTCGCTGCTCAACAAACTTGACAACCTCAAGCTCTTTTCTGAATAGGATTTAGGATGCGGCCGTTAAGGGGTGCGCTTCCAAATGGGCGAAAACAAAAGCGTCTTGATACATCTCCGTGGCGCCAGATGTGGTAAGTGATGGCGACGGAGGCATTTGCACATTCTTCATATTGGTAGAACCTCAAACAAGCGATTCGGCCCAGGCAATGCATGATGGATCGTGCTGCTGGAAGCGATGATCACCATGATGATGGTGATCGCAATCGTGATCTTGATGGTTGATAGTGATGGGGAGTATGAAAGTGATGGCGACGGTGATGGTGAGGGTGACGGCAGCGGTGATGGCGACGGTGATGGTGGTGATGATGATGATGATGAGGAGGGGAGGCGGAGAAGGAGAACAACGATGACGATGGCGATGCTGATGGTGGTGATGATGATGATGACGACGATGATGATGTGGGGGGGTTGAGTGGCGGCGGCGGCGGTGGTGGTGGGGCTGGTGGCGGTGGTGGTGACGGTGTCGGTGATGGTGACGGATGGTGCTGGTGAGAAGGGGGGTGCTGGTGCTGGTGCTGGTGAGTGATGGTAAGGGTGATGAAGATGACCATTGCATGCCGTATTGCGATGACTGCTGTGATGATGGTGAAAGTTAGGACGATGACAAAACGCCGAATATGGCAGTAGTGATGGTGAAAACGATGGCGATGGCAGGGATGATAGAGATCGTTGTGGCGTAGCGAAGCTGCACACCATCCTGATCATAATGGTGGTGACACTAAAATGATCATGGTCATCATCACCACCGCCATCAAAGTCATGACATCCATGGATGTCGAGGATAATGACGACAATCTGGGGAACGACACTGATGACAACGTTGCATTGCCTTGCATTACATTACATTATATGACATGGCATGACATCACATTACATTGCGTGAGATTACATACGTACATACGTACGTACGTATGTACGTACGCACGTACATACATTCATACATTACATTACATTGCATTGCATTACATTACATTACATTACATTACATTACATTACATCACACTACACTACATTACATTACATTACATTACATTACATTACATTACTTTACATTACATTACATTACTTTACATTACATTACATTACATTACATTACATTACATTACATTACATGACATGACATGACATGACATTACATTAC